AATGTGGGAGATGAAGAAATAAAAGAATCTGAAATTTAAGCCAGATGTTTTAGTTATGAACCCTGCAGTTAGTTAGTCTCAAGATGTAGACTATAGATTGAATGCATTTGAAAGAGGCAGGTAGCATCAGCACTGAGTTACAATCAGCATTCTGGGTTAAAGAAAATGGTTGCTCCCCCCCCCCTTGCATACAGGTGAAGCTCATAGCCGTCACACTTGGAAGAGACAGGAACAAAGAAACATTACAGAAAATCACATCAGCCAAGTTAGAAAGTAATGTTTTCTGGATAAAAAGCCCAACTAGTTAGATCTTGGTTCTCAAAAACGTTAAGCAAGGTCAGATCTGATTAGGACTTGGATGGGAGACTTTCAAGGAAAACCAGAGCATTAGGCTACACCAGGAAGTTGAAAAAACATCCAGGAAGAGGGGAGTGGCAAACCAATTCCATATTATTGCCAAGGAAATTAGACGGATGTGTCCTGAAGATGTCAGGAGACAAGCTTGACTTAAAGGAGATTTTATGTTTTACTAGGTTATAATTTCAATGAAATCAACTCTGTAGTACCATCTAATGAATAAAAGACACCATCCATTGTAAGAAGGTATAGTTTATCTTGGTATACAACAGTGAGCCAGGTATACATATACCAGTGTACTAGTACTGGGCAAGGATGTGAAGTGTCCCCAGTTGAGCCAACTGCTTCAAGAAGCATGTTGCATCATCAGGTGAGAGTTGACCCTAGGACTTCCTCTATCCTCTCAGAAATATTTAGCTATGCTTGACATTGTTTTGGCATGGAGATGCCAATCCGGGCAGGGGAGCATTTCTTTCATCATGCTTTTTGCAGGCAGCAAGAGCAGGACTGCAATTTCTGAATGTACATTCAAAACTGGTCATGGAATTCAAACATGTAAATATCTGATTCAGCATTGAAGAGAAGGCATGGGTAATGTATCCCGCTCTCTTCTCCAATACCACTTCTTAAGGAGATATGGATAAGCAAGATGAGTTCCCAATGCATCACCCTCCCAGGGAGCAAAGGGCAATTCTCAGTCCTTTGACTGAGAAGGACTGGAATTTTGACCAAAAAAATCATGCCAAGTGATAAAATGCTTTCAAAACAAAGTTTGCCTGATTTCACCCAGCAGACAAAAGCGCTGTAGGTGTTTTCTTCAAACATCTTGAAGAAGGCTTGCCTCCCTACAACATAACCTTACTTTTCTAATGTCACAGCAGTGCCTCCTCAAAGGCATTACCCAAGTCCTACCTTGGATGGCAAAGTCTTGTATTGCACACACGACTCATTGGAGGAGGTCTCTTTGAATTGTCACACCAGCTATCATTAACGGTTTGCTTTGTCTCCTCATGTAAGCACACAGCAATGGCTTCTTGGGTTCCTGAGTTGTAAAACAAACAAGCAAGCAAGATATTTTCAAGAAACATTAAATATTTTACAACAGAGAAGTACAGAAAAATATTATTTCAATATATACATTCTTGAGCCATAATTTAAGCATATGTGAAGGTAACACTTCCATGTTAACTGCTCTGATTCCTTACTGGTATTTAGTGTACAGTTGTACTGTTCACTTACTCTTAATTTAGAATCCCCACCCCAACACCAAACACTCAGCCAGGTTTTGCCTTCTGCAACGTAAGATCATTATTCCAAGGATTGAAATCTGGAGCAATGGAGAACAGACCATGGTTGCTATTTGCATGACACCCTTCTAGGTACTTTGAAGAGCTCCATCATTCCCCAAGCCCACTCCCATGGTCTTTTCTCAAGGTTCAGCACACGCAGTTCCCTCAATCTATCCTTATAGGACTTAGTTGCCAATCCTTGTTCATACTTTTCATCCTTCTTTGAACCTACTGCAGTTTTTCTGAACCTTCTTAAATTGTTATGTCCGGATTTTTTTAAGTGGTGTGGGTGGGGGGGGGGGAGAATCTGGCCAGAGGCTTTCAGAACTCTTACCTCCTATGATTTGACAACTATACTATTGATCCAGCCTAAAATTGACTTTTTTTACAGCCATGTTGTATTGCTGACTCCTATTCAGCCTCTGGTTGACTATAATTCTGATGCTGCAAATGTCTAATGCTGAACAGCCACCTCTGAGATGTCCAAAACAGAATTAACTTCAAGGTGCAAAGCCTCTCCCTGTCTGCAAGCTAGAAGAGCCATGGTCAGTCCTGATAGACTAGAAGGACAAATCACCTGGTCCAGTATAAGACAGCTCTTAAGTCCCTAATAGTGAGCACCCTCACTTTCTGCTTTACCTGCCACTGGAGAAGAGTCATGTTTCCAGTGATGGATCAGCTGCTGAAAAAACTGGCAGAGCTCTAAATTGCAAGTCTCAAATCCCAAAATGCAGAACACCGTCACACTTCATCTCCTTGTATTGCAAATCCTTCTAGCAAATCTTAGGCAGAGTCCATTTTATGGGGTGTAAAGATGCCTTGGAAGTCTCATGCACATACAATGCTACAACACAAGAAGTAATTCTCACTGTCCTACTAAATGAAACACATTGACTGAGCTTTCATTGATATCAGGTGGTGTTGGGGAAACATACCAACAGCACCTTAATGTGATATGCAAGATTGAACATGGTCATAGTTCAGGTAACCTGTTTCCTTCATTTTAAATGCATTTTCCCCTCGTGACTTTAGAGGGGCTACAAATCTGATCTTGAGACAGCTTAATACTTCTCTTTTGTTAAAAGATTTGCAAGATTTCAAGCCCTTTTGTACTTTGACTGCATTTCCTAATAAAAATGAAGAGCCTTGTTATTTGCAGAGTGTGTATCCTAAAAACCTCAAATTTCATTCCATTCTATGTTTTTTTTTTTTTTACCTGTACAACGGCTAGACAATTATTGCCATAAATATCTCTTCTCCTAATTCATCAGGTGGGGTTTTCTCAGCACTCTGTCATTACTAAAAAGGCCCATTTTTATTTTTAGCTGACTCTATGGAAATTGCAAGACTGGAAAACCTCTCCTCTAGAAGGTAGCAGCGTGCATTAGATCACTTCCAGGTAATTAGTTACAAACTGGGCGAGGATTTTTATTCCTGGATATGAGTGACAAGTGATTTTTATAAGAGCATCTCAAGCAGTTCCATCTGTCCCCAGTCATTCAAAATTATATGATGTCATAACTGGATATTATCCATGGCATACAAAGGAAAAGCCCAAGGTATCATTTGGGGAAAAACATTTGGCAGGTATACCTTGTTCTTCATTAAACCACATTTGATCAACTACACTTGAATTTAAGCCATTAAATCTACAGCAACCACTCTTGAAAACTGCATTATTCATATTATCATTGTCACTATCGGCACAACGCAGTTAACATCTTCCAAGACCGTGTAAGTTCTGGAGCTTCGTGCATGTTTCAGAATCCAAGGTTGAAGTCCCCCAAGCATCTCCCCTTAATCAAACTTCAGGGAGTGAGACAAGGAAAACAGCCAGTAGGGTGGAGGCCCAGGTTCAAATCCAACCTCAGCTGTGGAATGTATGTGGGTGCAGTCACTCTCTCTCAGCCCAACCTACTTCAAAGGGTAGTTGTTGAGAGAATAACACTAGAGGAAAGAGGGCTAAGCATGCCACCTTGAGTCCCTGGAGGAAAGGCAGGATATAAATCTTACCAACAACAGAACTTTCCTGCCACAATCCAAGGAACATAAGAGTCAAACAGTGACACTTGCAACACTTACTGCTGTGTTTCAAATAATAAATTCAAACAGAACAGCTCTGTTCTCTGAGGACTTCAATACATCCCAAATATAGTAGAAATGCTTAATGTACATCTTTATGGTTTCAATTTATAATAGGACAAATATGGAAGAATTATAACAGCTGACTTATTATAGTTTGCAGAGATGATCTCTATCCAATAAGCAATAACATTTAGATGATGCAGCATTTTCTGGGTAATAAAAAAGTACAGGCATTTCACACTAGAAGGAAAGAGGTACATTTATTAGCAATTGAATAATGGTCAGAGAATCAACTCTTCTACTGTTAAGGTGAACAGGCAATTTGAAAAATAAAATTATCAAAAGCTTGTCACAGAGAAGAAATTTAAAATGAACAAATTCCTTGTTCATGAGCTCAACAGAGTAGGAAACAAAATGCATATAAAAGAGATTTGCAATATGGGAACCAGAATGGTTTGATGGGATGGTACAATATGCAAAACCTGCTTATCCAATATTACCCCCCCCCCCAAAAAAGGCTGAGAACAGCTGGTTCATTAAACCCGGTATTTTTTTACACTAATTGGCCCTGGTTTTCTAGAGTTCTATGGCAGCTATCTAGAATTTACAAGGATCTGTTACAAGGACTATTCTCACAGAGTCTCTTTAATAAGATGCACTTACAAAAAAGGGATGGGATTAGAAAAATTCAAGCAGCTGAACTATTCCCCATTTAGAACCAATACAGTGGTACCTCGGCTCACGAACTTAATTCGTTCCGTGACTCTGGTCGCGACCCGAATTGGTCATGTCCCGAATCAAATTTTCCCATAAGGTTCAATATAAATATGGTTAATCTGTTCTGCCCCCTACGAATTTGGTCGCCAACCGATTT